TTGTTATTCAATTTGATTTCTTAAATTAAGAAATTATATTCAATTTAATTTCTTAAATTAAGAAAGAGAATCGCCCAGGAAAATTGCCATTTACTTAATTGAGTTAAAAAAAAAAACCTGAAATGAAATAGAAAGATAAAAGTTTGTCAACAAATTTCAGAGAAGAATAACCTTCCAATATTTTCCTAAAATTTAGCCATTTTTTGATAATCAATATGTTGCTATACGTTGCAACATTATCATTATCATTATCATTATCATTGTCATTATTACAAATACATTCAAATCAACCATATAAATAATTAGTGAGTTTAAAATTTCAGCTAAACCTAAAATGATTAATTTAGATCTGGTTGATATTTCTATTGGTTTAGTTAGGTTGCATATTGTTGATAGATGGATGCCCATGAATTTATATGACTTCCTGTATCGGAACAACAGATACATGTCTCAACAACATTTATGCATTTCATCCTCTTGTCTTTTATCGTTGTTCGGTTTGTTCGTCCTTGTCGGTCTTTTGTCACATTTATGGAAAACATCGTAATTTCAACAATATACGCCATTTTGCAAATAGCATTTAGGTAGATAGTGGTGAACAAAGTATCACTAGTAGCAATATGCTAATTGTTACTGTTCTTTAAAATAGCATACAAATATGTAAATAAGTAAAAATAATAAAAACAATAATGAATAATAGTAATATTTAGTATCCAATAGTAGTAATAGATGTTTAGTTGTCATCGTTGTCATAGATTTACTAATAGCTGTAGTATCCAAAATTTAAATTATTTTATGTAAAATAGCAATGTCATACGCATATTTTTAATTATTACTACATTCAAATATTCCACTTACATATGCTTCATGTAATTCGTTTTCTCATAGATAGATAATTATTAAATTAATGCAAAATATTAGTCCATTCTCATTTAATCATTTCCTCTTTGATATCTTTTATCAATTCAAATTTTTCCATTTCATTATCGATTATTTTATTTTCCTCATCCATCTTTATGATTTTTTGTTACTTTCATATTTTCATTTCAATTATAATCATTTTTCCTTATCTTTTACAATATTTTAGTTTATCATTTTTCTTGCAATAATTCAATGTACACTATATATCATTTAATTTTATTTTTTCTGCTAAAAAAAATATTTTAAATTTAAGTAATTTAAGTTTCAAAATTATCCATTTGTCGATTTTTATCTTTTACTGTATATCATGCTACTATAATTTGTTCCATTATATTACAACAGAAAAATTTTTGTGGTATTATTACATTCTTTAGAAATAACTTCTTCGCACTTCAATATTTACTTTTCTTACTTATTTACCTTCTTTTTTTTTTCTTTCATTTCAAAAATGAAAAAAATAAAAGGCAGCAAATGGAAAAGCATTAAAGCTTAACAATGATAAATATAGAAGTTTCATTCCATCACACCTTTCATCCGTTAAATAAATTCATCTCTGTTTGCTAATAGTACTGATAATAATTGATATGTTAATCAAAATTTTGCTAATTTTTATTTTTATCATCACTAAAAATGTTTCATAATAATAGTTGTTATTTCTTTTTTTTTTTCTTAAAATATATTAACATTTATTTTTATCTAATATAATTGTATGATATTTGTATAATTTTTATTTACATTTATTTAATTCATAGCATACGCAATTTGATTTGTTAATAAAAAATTTATAACTTTTAAAATCAATATAAATTAATGTTATGTTAAAAGATGAATAATTTTTGCATAATAATGAATGAGTATTGTAAACTGTCTGGGTGGCGCATTGTTTGACAAAACTTTAGCCCATCTACCCTTCGTATCCTGTAATCTTCATTTCTTGTCATTCTTTTTTTTTTTTTTCCGGACAGAATCAACGTTGTGTATCGTTTATGAACCGAAACTGATCACTTTTTCAGCACTTTATTGCAATCCTTTATCGTTCTTTCTCTTATTTATTCATTGTTAATTTTTTAAAAAAAAAAAAAAAAGAAGAAAAGGAAAAAAAAAAATTTGTCTTCCATTTTTCTCTTTAAAATCACTATAATATGCCGCCATATTGAAATTATTTGTACCGTATCCAAAAATGGCATTAATGATTGCTCCTTTAAACACTGATAACTTATCATACTTTTATTTAATTAATATGATTTATTCAATATTAGAGTAAAAAAAAAAGAAAACTTTGTCATCCTTTGTCATTTATTAACTCTTAATAAGTGATGATAATTTTGATGATCCTTTTTTTTCTCCCACTTCCTTGCACAACAAATAATTTGATATTAGATTGTACAAAATCAAATTTCTCATTAATAATTCATTAAACATTCATATATTGTTTATTGCAAAATATTAATTTCGCATTAATTTTAATAATAAAAAAAAATTTAAATTTCTTAAAATTGTGTCATATTTTCGGGAAAAAAAAAGAAGAAAGAAAAAGTGGTCAATAATTGAACAAAAATTAATGAA